GGATGGGGGCAGGCCCTCTCCCTGGAGCTCAGTGGGGATCAGGTACAAAGGGTCATCCCTTTGTAGCATAGGGTCTTTCCCTGGAATGTAGGATATGAAGGTGACTTGCAGCTTGAAGGAAACGAACCTGGAGGAGATACACGTTAGAGACAGGAGGCTAAGTCTGAAGAGCAAGGAAAGAGAAGAGGGGCAGATCAACTGTGCTCTGAGATCACTGATGGGATCACTGATGGGGATGCCCCACTTCTCGTTTTGGAAGTTAGGACATTTGCCAGTCTCTGCTTCACCTGATGGTTCCTCTATTCACCGGCTTCCTCTGCCTCCTCCCTCTTCCCTTCACTCCTGCCTCACATCCAGTCTCTAATTTTCCTTCCTCTTTCATAGAAGGAGGCTGCTTACTTTCCTTCACTCTCGTCTTTTAAAAGAGCAGGTTGCTTGGTCTTTTTAAAAATAAAATTGCAGCTATGATATAAATTTAAATCTAATAAGGGGAAAATATACTAAAGTTCTCTTTAGCACAGGTCACGTCTTTTTGTGATTTTCAAAATGGAGTCCTTCCAAATGGTGGCTGCACTTGAGAAGTTCCCTAACCTCCCTTAGGGTAATGATTGTGACATTCCTTAGAGGCAAACTCATTTCCGTTACTCATTTTGAAAACACACGTTCCTTTGTCTTTTCACATGCATCACAGTGAGATTTAAAATAGAGACACATCATCACCTATTTAAGGGTTATGAATAGCACTGTCTTGAAAAGGCCTGGTGGAAATTTATATGGAATTGAAAGTGACACAGCAGACTTGGAAGATAGTTAGGCAGACAGGAAAACCAGGTTGGAGGCCAAGCTTCTTCAGCATCCTAAGCACAGGACATGAGACCCTCTTCCTGCCATGCTCACGTGAAGTCAGATGCAAGGCATCATTTGCAGATGGAGAAGTGAAGTGGAAGGGTGGGGTGGCCCCAAGATGTAGGGCAATCTACCAAATAAAAAGGTTCAGTGATCCAGAAGCCACCCTAAGTACTATGGTAGTTTGGGTGCATTTTTCCATCCCTTGTCATGGGCTGGGCCCACCCTCTGGTGGAATGCCACAGGATGTAATAGCGTGCCACTTCTGATCTGAGGCCTTAAGAAGCTTCTACTTGTCCTTGCCATGGGAAGAATACAACCCGGCAACCCACTCGTCCAAGGAAAGGGTAAGAGATAAGGAACAGAATGTGTAACAGCAGCCCAACCCCAGCTGATCTGAAGAAACCTGAGTAGGAGTCAGAGAAAGCTACTCTGCATGCTGGAGCTTGAGAGTACTTATTGCACAGCAATATTGTGGAACCGCCAAGTGACACAAGCACTGCTCCGAAATGTGGCTTCTTCAAAAGCAGAATGTGAATAACGGTGACCGAAAAATGAGAATGTGAAGAGAATATGGTTCTCTGAAGATGAGGACAGTCCTTGTGTAAACGATCACAAGAGGGGCAGATGTTGCTCTCTATCTTGAATATCCCACCCGCTAACTGGGTCTTGGCCACGGGTGAAGGGAACTGCAGAATCTTTTCCCAGCCATGCTGGAAATTACGGATAATGTTCAAGTTCAATGATGACAGACATTGGCTTCTTTGGGAAGCACAAACATTTCAAAGACTATTAGATAATTAAGTAAGAAAAGACCTTCAGATGACCTCTGCCTGACAAAAGTTAAACCATGCACCACTCAAAGGAAGGCCATTCATTCACAGGTCAAGCGCATGGGGTAAGTGGTTATATTCTCACTGAAATCTGTCTCTTTAACTTTACCACTTGATCCCCACCCTTCCCTCTGCAGCCACATAGTGTGAGTTTCTTGACTCTTCCAACATGGAACTTTCAAACACAGTCCTGCATCCTAAATCTCTTACACACCAAACTCCTAGAGTTTCCTCATGATCTTGACACACCACTCACTATGCTGGTCACCTTCTTCTAGATACCTACTAGCTTGTTCATGTCCCTCATAAACCAGGAAACGCAGAATTATAGACAATCCTTGACATGTACCTAGAACATGCCATGTCCACGAGGGACTAATTACTTCTTGTTCCCTGGACGTTCTTTTTTTTTTTTTAAATTATTTATACCTGTTTAAATTGTTTTTTTTTCTGTAAAATTAATTTGGTTTATCCTCTGAATATATTTCCCTGTTCCAGGAGAGTAATGAATTTTTTCTCCTCTAAAAATAACGATGATAATACAACTCCAATGGGTTCCCTCTACTGAGAGCCTACTCGGTGCCTGGCTTATTAACCCATTCAAAATCCCGAAGGTGGTATTATAATCACCATATAAAATGAGGACACAAGTTCAGAGAAGGTGAGTCACTGACATTAGGTCACATAGCTGCATGGGGTTCAAATCCAGGTGGATTCCATGCACCTGGTCTTTCTACTATCCTCACTCCCTTACATTGTTTTATCTGGGAAGGGAAAGGCTAATTATATCATGGGAATAGCCAGGAGCAAAATATGGGTTAGTATTCTCCTTACTCTTGCACAGAACAGAAAGGTGCCTCTTTGCCCACTCCCACTGAAAACGGCCTCTCACCATGAGACATGACGCAGCCATCAGCTGCAGTACAACAATCACATGACTGGTGTCAAGGCCAGGATGGGAAGGAATCAACAGAGGTCAGTCTTGTGATCTTCAATCTGAGTTTTAGTCTACTGTTGTGGTGGACACTGTTGATGTTCTGCCCAGATATCCCTGCAGGGTGTGCAGAGGCAAAGGAATGGCCCCCAAAGGCCATTCCTAATCCCCAGAACCAGTGAACATGTTATGTTACATGGCAAGGGGAAATTAAGGTTGTAGATGGATGTAAGGCGGCTAATCAGGTGGCCTTGAGACAGATAGATTATCCAGGTGGGTGCAAGATAGAGAGTTAGGACCAGAGAGATGGCTGTGTGAGCAAGATGCAACCTGCCATTTGAAATTTGAACACAGAAGATGCCACAAGCCAAGGTGTGGGCAATCCGTAGAAACCGGAAAAGGCAAGAATGTAGATTCTTCCCTAGAGCCTTTACAAAGGAATGTAGCTCCTGACACCCTGATCGAAGCCCAGTAAGACTCACTGTGAACTTTCAACCTCCAGAACTCTAAGATAATGAATCTGCGTTGTTTTAACCTACTAAGTTTATGATAATCAGTAGCAAAAAGCCACTAATACACCAGAGGTGGGTGTGCTGGCTGCTAATGACTCACAGCTACCCCATTCTCCAGAAAATTGCCTTCCACAGAACATGAGCCACTTAGCCCAGGGGGTTAGGAAAGGGCCTCCATCGTGGGAGGAGGAGGGAGGCCCACTGAAAGCAGGATACAAAAGGTTGGCCTCAAGGAAGGGCCAGATGTGCAACCCATTTGCCAGAGCTCCCTTCACAGCTGGCTCTCAGTGAGACTCCCACTAGAGACCACTTTCTTATTTAGCAACTTCCCTGCCCCATCCGTGTACTCCCTCTCCCTTCTCCTGAGAGTGTCCCCTCAATCAGTTATGTGCACTTAACTCCTCTCTCAGGCTCTGCTTCTGGGGAATCTGACCTGAGACAACAGTCATCCTTGGAAGAGATGTCAACCTATAGAAAACTGGTCCTGGAGGGGAAACAGTGGGGCTGGAAGGTATGTGTGTCAGGGTAGAGGAGCCAGAGCGTGACACTAGAGGATATATATTAGCTTTTGCCTGGGGCCTCACGGGGCCCGGGTCCAGTTTGGGAGCTTGAGGTTCTTGATCTTAAAGGTCTCCTTCCCGGAAGCATTTGTGCCAAACCCAACGCTCCAGCAACTGAGCTGTGAGTGGGGCCACAGGGTGGGGAAGGCCTCGGGGTGCTTCCAGGAGCTCCAGGAATCTAACAGGCTACATATCTGGAGGGTTAGCACCATCTTGGGAAGACAGGCCACATCTGGATCAGCCTTGCATTTCCATTTTTTTGCCTCATTTCCATTCATGATGGCCTTTAACTTGGGGCAGAGGGGTACATCCTCACACCTCCTGAGAGCACAAACAGGCCTATCTCCTTCCCCTTTCCTCTTGTTCTGCAGCTACTGGTCAATTACCAGGATTGACTGCTGTACTTGAAACAAGAGATTTAAATTCACTCTGAATCCCACCCAAATTGCCTTTCTGATTTCCTCCATCTGTCTGGTCCCTGGGAACCTGACACAGCAGAGGCAGAAGAGTATGAACTACAGAGTCTCTGTGTCTGTGTCTCTGAATGGCCTCCTTTTCCTTGTAGCTGGGACATTTTGGGGGTCATTCTCTTCACCTGGGCACAACCCCTAAGACTCTCAGGCTGCTATCATTTCTCTGAGGTACTGTGAACGAGTCTGTGCCAGGTCCAGACTTGTAATGGTGGCTTAACGCTTTTTCCTACCTGGTTCAATGCCTCCCTCAGAATCATCCCTCCCACACCTGTTTGTCTGGGTCACCCTTACCCCCCCAATATTCACCAAGCCACAGACTCCCACCTCAGGCTATTCCAGACAGACCATGCCATGTGCCCTGCCTGTAGTAGATACTGTGACATGTCACTCAGGTCCCCCTGCAGTCCTGAAGCATTCCATGTCCACTTGCCTCATGTTTTGGTTGCCTCCCACTGATTCCTCTCTGCCAATTGCTGTTGGCTGAAGAGAGCTGGTTTATTCAGGATTATGCCCCTTCCCCATGGGCTGCCCATACACAGGGAGAGGTGATACAGAGGTACAGAGTCCCAGACCTCCAGCCTCCATGGAGATGACTGTACAGAGCTCCCTGGAGGATTGACTGAAGTTGCAACTGTATAATTATCCAACTTCTCCCTCCACCCAGACCTGTGTCTCTTTCCTGTGCACATCTATTGTTCTCCAGAACATTCCCGAACTGCCCTCATGTATATCTCTGAGGCTCAGAATCTGTCCTCGGACCTGGACTTGGGCCACGCCACTCTCACTTGCCCTTCAGGGAGGTGCAGGGACCTACCTAGAGGTAGGGATGGGGGAGGCCTTACCCACGATCATGTGGTTGCAGACATCACAGAAAGTGGGCTTCTTGAAGATGTGCTCCTGAAAGGTGTGGGCCTTGCCGCCAGCCCCTGGGTGCGGGCCGGCCCTGGTGGGTGTGGATGTCAGGCTTCCAGAGGCAGGGAGTGGGCTGGAGCTGGGGCTGACCTCAGCCAGTATGTCTGCCTGCAGCTTCACGTCGCTGTTGGTTCTCTGGAAGAAGTTGTCAGCGCTTTTGCTCCGTAAACTCTTGGTCTTGAAAGAAAGTGATCGTTTTAGTTTCTGGAGCTGCAATGCAATGACAGAACACTCTCTTACGATCAATCATGCAGACTCATGCTGTGGGGGTGAGGTCTGCTCCAGGCCCTGCACTGGTCCCACTGACCCCCTCCGCCCCAAGGAGGCTCCACATGTTCCTGTGTGCATGCGGCGAGGCCATGTGCATGGCTAGAGGGTATTTGGCAGCCCTTTCCTCACCCTGTGCCGAGTCAGGCTGCCCAAAGAGGTCCCATGGTACCTTTGTCTCTCTCCCTGCTCCTCCTCCCTGCCTCCTTGAGGTCCTACCAATGTGCTGTCAAAATGTCCTATGACATCGAACTTCTGCCATTATTTGCCTTCTGAATTTGAATCATTGTAAATATTAAATGTACAGCCCTCTGGGCTCAAAGGCTATGTCCACAATTCTAGGACTTCTGCTGGTCTTTCTCTCTGATGGTCACTTAGCAACTACTTGTCTCTATCCACAGCAAAGCAGAAGAGGCCACTGTCTGACTCAAATCCATCAGGCTAAACCATCCACAGAATAGGAACCAGAAACTCTCAAACCTGCTTGGGTCTGAAGCATATGGATGAGTAATGTGTGTGTGTGTGTGTGTGTGTGTGTGTGTACACGTGCACATGTGTGTATGTGAGAGAGAGGATGACACAGGGTGGGATTACTTGTTTGACTTTCTATGCTCTTCTCCCTGCTTTGCTGCATGTTTTCAGCCATGGCAAACTGGACCACTTCTCCTTTGCTTTGAACTTATAAAAAGTTAAAACATGGGTTTCCAGAACTACTAATTACTGAAAGGTCTGGGTTTGGTCCAGTCTGCACCACCAATCCAACCTTCAACCTAGAGCTAGAAGGATCTTTTAGAAATACAGATGTGAGCGTGTGAGCCTGCTGTTAGAATTCTTTGTGAAGCTTCTTTTGTTCTTAAATCTAAAGAAAAGCTTTTTGTCATGGGTTCCAGGGACTGGCAGGTTCTGCGTCCCCATGACAGCTTGTACCAACGTGTATCTTGCTCTGTCCATGCCAGCCACAGTGGCCCTTTTAAAAGTCTGTGGTATTACTATGCTTTCTCATCACCACCCATTCTGTGCATATTGCTCCCTCTGCCCAGGTAAAGGAATGAAGTACTTAGTAGCTACATGACCTGCAATAGGTCACTTTACCTTCAAGGCAGTTTCCTTTTGTAATTGAATATCCATGGGGACTCTGCCTGCTATCTGGAATTAATGTCTTTGACCCAAAGCTGCAGACAAAAGGTGCCTAAGCACACTAGTCTAATAAAGACCTGCATCAACTGTAATCAAACACCTCTCCAGGACATATAAGGTGAATTGATCTGGCCTTGCTGAGCCCCATCATCTCTGCATCAACCCTCCAATCTCTTCCTTAGAAGGTCAGGAAGATGTGTTTTTTTGTGCTTGGGGTAGACTGCAAAAATGCTCTAATTTTCTACCATTACCCTTCCCATTTACCTTTGCAATGTCACCTTTGCAATGTGACTTTGCAGCCCCACCCCATCAAAGGTAGTGTGTTTCTTCACTCCTTGGATCATGCTGGTTTTGGGAATTTGACCAATAAAAGGTGGCAGAAGCAATTTTAACTCAGTTCCAAGCACAGACTTCAAGATGCCTTGCATGCTCTGTCCTCCCTCTTGGAAACCTGCCAAACTGCCATATGAACCAACCCAGTGTAGCCTGAAGGATGATGAGAGACACACAGTCCAGTCACGTCCCATCACAGGAGTAAGCCCACTGAAGCAGAGCTACCCTGTTTCCATCTAGGGAATGAAAGAGTTTAAATGAGACCAGAAGAACTGTCTGAGCTGGGTCCTAACCAAATTTTCAACCCTCAGAACCATCAACTAGAGATAACTGGTGTTTGAAACCATTAAGTTGGGTAACGATTGTGTGTACACAGCAATATATTGCTTCCTCCCACCTTCCGGCCACATGCCGAGATTTTACTTTGCCCATGTGAGGTTGGCTATAGTTGTGTGAAGCAAGCTCCCCACTTCAGGGAGCTATCCAGGGAGGGGCCTTGCAGGGGGAGGACAGCTCCTCTAGAGGAGCTCCACTTAGCTAGCAATGAGGCATCATTAGCCAGAAAGGGCTGGCTGAAGAAGCAGCAACATCCTAATTTAAAGGTCAGAAACAGTGGATTAGCCAAGAACTCTGTCTCTTTCTCTTTGCCCTACAGCCCAAACCCACTAGAGGAGCTGCAGCCACCAAAGAAGGAAGAGAAGGAGGTGCTCATGAGTTATTTTGAAATTGTTTGTTACTGTACCATAACCTAGCTTATCCTGACTGATATAGGGGAGCATGGTCATGCACCTTTGGGAGCCCTGCATTTATTTTAAAGAGGATCCTTCATCTCTAGTAAGCTAAGTGAGAGGGAGCAAGAAACAGCACTTACTGAGACTGAGCCACACCAAGGTGAGGACCTGAGAGCCAAAGGAGCAGAATAGACCTCACTTCCAGTTCTTCCAGCCATGAGCTGGGTTGGTGCTGGAGGAAGGTGGGTTTAAATAGACATGACGAGAGTTTTATTCTGGACATATTTTAATAAATTAAAGAGACAAGGAATGTAAGGAATCTGCTAAGATTTTTTCGTGGGCATTGCAACCCAGGGCAAGGGTGGTTATCAGAGCAAATATCATCACATAGAAAAATAAAGTCCTTGTCTGTTCCCTGCCATGGAGTTCAGATGGTTCAATAAACTGGCTATTCTTGTCTCAAAAACAGAACAAAACCCCCTATTCTTATTATAATAACACTGACCTTGTGTGTTTCACCAGGTGACCCTTCTTCACCTTCCCAACCATCCAGTGAACACGCTGTTGTGTTACTACTGGAGAAATGGCTGAGGGAGGTTAAGGGACTCGTCCAAGGTCACACAGCTCATGTGAGTCAAGACCAGGGTTCAGAATTAAATTTACCTTCCTCTAAGTCCACTCTTCAACTGCCAGTGATTGACAGATGATGGAGGGAATAAGGAGGAGGGCTTACCCCTCATCCTCAGGGGTGATATAATTACTTTTGGTGGACAGTGAGAGTGGGAAGGGATGTGCAGTGAGAAAGCAAATATGCTTTTGGAGGAGCTATAACCCTTATTATATACATTTCAAATTCCTTAAAAATAAAAGGAAAATGCCTGTTTATCAAAGGGGAGCATCAGACTCCCCTGCAAGTCTTCTCTGACAGACTAGGTGGACTCTGTTGCTAGGACAGGGAAGGTCATGGGGTGTTGCCTATGTACGTCCAGTCTGGTCTCCCTCCTGTGCTCATATGCTTTGTTTCTGCCTTCAGAACCTTCCATATATAGTATTCTGTGTTCCTTGGAAGTTTAGCATGATGCCAAGATACCTGTAGCATTTTCCTTGTCCTGTGGGATGTGGCTGGAAATTGTATCAGACTTTCAGAGCCTGCTGGCCTGTAGAGCTGGAAAATTTGCTTTGGAAGCCAATGTGACATTTCTTTTTCAAGTGGATAGCTTAAAAGAAATGCCTACAAGTTAAACAAAGTCTGAGCAGTAAGCTCAAAGGAGTACACTTTCTCTAATTATTCCCCCAAGAGTGGAGGCCAGATAGGAAAATATAAAATGCAGAAATAGAAGCAAACCCTGATAATAGCACATGTCATAAAATAATTAGCTTCCAGGCACCACTGTTAAAGCCCAGCTCCATTTAAAAAAAATAATAATAATAGGAAAAACAGATATTCTTGAATACTTTGTCATGCACTAGAAAATGGTTTTATTTTTTAATTTATTTTTTATAAATTTATTTTTTATTGATGTCCAATTTGCTAACATATAGAATAACACCCAGTGCTCATCCCATCAAGTGCCCCCCTCAGTGCCCATCACCCAGTCACCTCCAACCCCCGCCCACCTCCCCTTCCACCACCCCTAGTTCGTTTCCCAGAGTTAGGAGTCTCTCATGTTCTGTCTCCCTTTCTGATATTTTCCACTCATTTTTTCTCCTTTCCCCTTTATTTCCTTTCACTATTATTTATATTCCCCAAATGAATGAGACCATTGTTTGTCCTTCTCCGATTGACTTACTTCACTCAGCATAATACCCTCCAGGTCCATCCACGTCAAAGCAAATGGTGGGTATTTGTATTTTCTAATGGCTGAGTAATATTCCATAATATACATAGACCACATCTTCTTTATCCATTCATCTTTCATGGACACCGAGGCTCCTTCCACAGTTTGGCTATTGTGGACATTGCTGCTAGAAACATCAGGGTGCAGGTGTCCCGGCGTTTCATTGCATCTGAAACTTTGGGGTAAATCCCCAACAGTGCAATTGCTGGGTCATAGGGCAGGTCTATTTTTAACTCTTGAGGAACCTCCACACAGTTTTCCAGAGTGGCTGCACCAGTTCACATTCCCACCAATAGTGCAAGAGGGTTCCCCTTTTTCCACATCCTCTCCAACATTTGTGGTTTCCTGCCTTGTTAATTTTCCCCATTCTCACTGGTGTGAGGTGGTATCTCATTGTGGTTTTGATTTGTATTTTTCCCTGATGGCCAGTGATGTGGAGCATTTTCTCATGTGCATGTTGGCCATGTTTATGTCTTCCTCTGTGAGATTTCTCTTCATGTCTTTTGCCCATTTCATGATTGGATTGTTTGTTTCTTTGGTGTTGAGTTTAATAAGTTCTTCATAGATCTAGGAAACTAACCCTTTATCTGATACATCATTTGCAGATATCTTCTCCCATTCTGTAGGTTGTCTTTGAGTTTTGTTGACTGTATCCTTTGTTGTGCAAAAGCTTCTTATCTTGATGAAGTCCCAATAGTTCATTTTTGCTTTTGTTTCTTTTGCTTTCGTGGATGTATCTTGCAAGAAGTTACTGTGGCCGAGTTCAAAAAGGGTGTTGCCTGTGTTCTCCTCTAGGATTTTGATGGAATCTTGTCTCACATTTAGATCTTTCATCCATTTTGAGTTTATCTTTCTTTATGGTGCAAGGGAGTGGTCTAGTTTCATTCTTCTGCATGTGGATGTC